CAGACCAATAGTTTGAGCCCGAACACACGTTAAAGCAGAACCCCGTGAACACCTGTATAAACTGTGCAACATTGTTCAATATTTTGCATAACTACGTCTCTGCTGTTGTGTTTTATAGATTTAGCTGCGTTGTACGTTGTAAATATAGCGACGGTGTCGAACTGCCTGTGTCACAGCTTCTGAATTTAAATGAATATACATGCATATTGAATTACCGAAACCCCCGGGCGGGCTAAGATGTCACGGGAAGGGCGACTAAAACATACTTACTACAGACTCGGGGGACTGCCAACAGAACTCAAAACATCGACCCTGTTCTTGTAAACACATTTTGGACGAAAAAGATCCTTTTTGATTATTACCTAGGCGATGATTTTTTAGGGATATTCTTCCCGAAAAAGTTACAGTACGTTTATGAAATTTTCGGGAAAGGTATCCCATTTGTGCGGCACATCAAGTATACACCTCCGAAGCGAGCGTCCGTCACGTTAGATGTGATGGTTGCTAAATACGAATGGAAATTGTTATTACGATTATGTGCTTTCTTGTTTGAATTCACAAATAATACAATGATATCTATATACTATACAAACCGAAATGTCAGTAACTCTGTATCATCATAGTTTTCAAACGTAATTTTAAACAGAATCCTCAATCTAAAAAAAACAACACAATCTGCAGCTAATAAAAACGAAAGAACAGCTCGATTAATTATAGAGGGCGCCATTTACTGGTTTGAAAGATAGCCGAGTTTCCCATCACAACTTGTACCCACAATATACCTCAAACAACATGATGGCGGCAATGGGATTGAATTCCCTTTTACTTCAATTGTTCATGTAATTGTATATACAACTATTTTATTATGTCGACACAAGAAATATGGCCAAGGGTTCATGGAATTCATGACCAATCTTCGAATTCTCGGCAGTAATTTAAGACGACGAAAATGCACCCAAAACAATAAACTGTTCTGGTTGTTTTCGTCATAAATAGCTTCATTTTACAATGGATTTTCAAACAAATGTATCATTATCTAATGCATACTTTGAGACAACATGGATAGCAAAGTGATATATTATTATCCGTTAGTTGAAGAGCGGTAGTAGCGAGATATGGGGATAAACAAAGACGGCGATTTTGAATGTATACCACAGGGAG